TTTGATAAATATAAATTTAAGGTTTTATTTTTTTTTTCAATTTATTAGAGAAATGAATGGATGGTTTTTATATTTTAAAATAAAAAGAGATATTCATCTCAGTGAAATGAAATAAGAATTTAAATAAACTTGTTTTTTTCCTATGTCAATAAAACGATTTTATGTAATTTCTTTTGGAAATGGAGTATTTTTAGGTCAATTAGGATATTAGAGAAAAGGGCGAAGAAGAAAAAAAACAAAGAAAGTTCAGGTGATAATTTAATGCATTTCGTGTCTGACCCAATAACCACATAGTATAGGGTGGTCTTTGTCACAAATGAAAATTCTGAAGATAATAGCGGCATCTTTATAATCTACCCATAAAATATTCATTTGTTGCTAATAAGAAAACTTCGTTTGATTGTTTGGGGCTGTATAAAACAAATATTAATTTTCACAATATCCGATATTAATAATTGTGGAAAAGTAACATTTATTCTTAAGTCATTTGTCAAATAGAAGTTGATCTTCTGAATCTCAACTCAAATAGTCAAGTGGGAGTGCAATTTATTTTCGGGTAAAAAATATATAATATCGAAAAAATACCTGACCAATCAACTGGAATCATACATTTAATAGCAAATCAGATGTTATTTATGAAAATTCATGGATGGGTTTTTAATGAAGGGTGATTTGGCACGACCTAGCAAGAAGGGGACACGTATGCGTGATCAGATCGAAGGATGACAATTCAGCCAGGCAAGCCCAATTCGCAACATTCGGAGTTCGGGTATTCAGCCACCTTGACCTAAAACCCACCTCGGTGTAGAGGCACATCGACACCCAATCCAGTTTGGGACTAAAGAATTGAAGTTCCAGCTCAGAGCTAATGAGCGGAAACACCATGTAACTGATTCCAAAGGCCTTCCCAACAGATCCCGAATCTCTTGAGGTCACGATGAGCCAACAAATCCCGAATTTCCTGAGACCACGATAAGAACTCATCCCGGTTCCGCCTGAATCGGAGGTAGACGATAAACCTTATCAACATACTTCTCTCCTTAAAACACGGAACCAACCTTATCTTCACAACCTAGGGATCTCGGAGCTCTTTCATAAGGCCCACGATTACTCCAATATATAATGACTTGAAATCTCAAGGCAAAGGTACGTGTGATTATTCTACTCACTAGCACTCAAGCTCTCAAGCATTCAGGCCGCCGCATTCACAGTATAAATACTGATTTAAGCATCGAAGCAAATTCACCGGGTTAGCTACCCTGGGTTCTCTGATCTATTGCTTTGCGGATCGGTCCAACTCGCCGCCCATTTGGAATTCGGATCACCTCCGGCTAAGAATAACCAGATCACGCACCATCAATTTTGATTGGTTAAAATTCTTTTCATACCATATTTTTTCCATGTCATAGATTTTTCCTATATTATCACGTTAAATATTGTTTTTCCAAAAAAAAAATCCAAATTTTCTTCCGTTTTTCCTTTTACGTGAAACCAAATAGAGCTATAAATATGTAATATTTGAACAATGTTTATAGTTGAGTGTGGGTGGGTTCTCAAACGACAAATAGTGCTCTCTCAGTTTGACGTTTAGACGGCAGGTGTTAGGAGGTTGAGGCAGCTGGCAATAAAAAGGCTTATATGTCAATTCAAGGCAATAAGGGGAGGGTGTTTCAGTAATTGTGCATTGTTTTTGTTAGATGCGAAGACCGATTTGCATAATAACAAGATTTGCCTCGACGCCTCGACGGAAGCCAATGCAAAGAGTTGGGAGCACCGCACAATTGCACATGTTGTAGATGGTGATGCCGGATGCATGGACACATGGACACATGGACTCCTTTTTGAGGCATCCGCACATGTTGTCTTTTAGTTTTGACAGGTGGCTCACACCTCTCTTGATTATGCATGTATTTTTTGCTATACTTCACGATTCCAATGCAAAAATTCATCACTGCATACAATACAGCTGGGGCCAGCGCCGCAATTTGGAATCATAGAATAATTGTGGTGGGATTTGCTATTATATATCTACCTCACAACAACGGCCTAAAACTATTTGTGTGTTGTTTCCATACCATCCAAGGAAATAAATAAGTGAGCCACATGATCAAGATCTACATACCAAGACAACTGATTGGAATCAAAACAGGCTCAAGTAGTGAAGCAAAGGAGGCCCCACCCCTCCTCAGGCTCAGTCCAGATATCATATTACAATAGGCACGACACGAGCGTGTGTAAGCAGTAAAGCACAAATTGGGCGTACCCAAAGAATGTATGTTATCAAGATCAACCAAATTCCTAGCCGTTGAATTCATTGTCACACTTGGAATGAGCAAGAGGGGCTATTGTATTTCTTTAACTTTAATTTTTATTTGGGTATTTCTTAAAATTAGAGATGGAATAACGGATTCCCATGATTAGGATCATATGGTATATGCCGATGTGTCATTAGGTGGTTTTGTTATGTTCCAGCCAAGCGTTGACCCCGCTCATTGATTAGTGACAATCTGGACTGGAGGAGCCCATATTCCAAACGCGTACCTATGTGCTGTGGGCCCAAATTATCATATTATAATTATCCTGGTCAGTTGACAAATAGGCGTTGGCAATGGCAGGCAGTGCAAACAGTAGAGTACCATACATGTTTATTTGATAATTGATAGTGTAGATTACCATAAACGGCCCTCTTTGTATCCAACATACAGTTTATTTTTGTTCAATGTTTCCTTTTCCTTATAAATAAAATACCAAACATTGGTTGGGCTTATCTTATCCACGTCGGTTTTCGTTGCTTGGTTAGGTATATGAACGATCTATGTGGCTATTCCTATTCTTGGGTAGGGATGGTAATTTTTCCCATCCCCGCTGAAACCCGATTTTCCTCACCCCAATAGAATTGGAGATGAGGATTGTTTTGGTGAAGCGGAGACAAGGACGAGGATTAATAGGAATTTCCGATCGGGGTCAGGGTTGAGAATGGGGATTGAGGTCCTTGCTCCGTTCCGACCCCAATTATGTATATATATTATTTATATTATATATAAAAATCAAAACATATTTAAAAATTTATTTATAATTAAAATTATTTATTTATTTAAATAAATTTATTTTACAAATAAATACTATTATCTAAAAAAATTTTGAGGGTTCGGGTCCCCATTGAGAATCCATCCCTATCAGGGATTGGGGACGGGAATGGGATTAATTTCATAATCAAGGTCGGGAATGGGGAATATGATCCCTACCCCAAACCCGCCCCGTTGCCATTCCCATTCTTGGGGTTTGGGGGAAATATGCAAATGCTCGCCTTGTTTCTCCATCTGCTTAATCAAAATTCAAAAGCATATCAATAATGTATATGCATCATAGGAATTATTACTTTTTTATGATATAACTGATTTATCATTATTGATTAAGAAGAGGCACTGGCTTACTAGTCACTCAAAATTAGGGAACCCAAAGGGTGGGTTTTCTAAATTTTAGACTTTATCTCCTTGTACATGAAAGTTTTAGAATCTAAACTCTTTTTGTACATGAAAATGCAAAACCCTCACAACCTTATCCTCCCCACATTTAAGAGTAAGGCGGATTGAGTTTAGAACCTACATCTAATTTCTCATTATTCTTGTTATAAATAATAAATAAATAAAAAATATGAACAAACATCAAAATTTTTAATTATTTAATTAAAACTTATTAAAAGAACACATAAATTTTTAATTATCCTTTACATAAAACTTAAAATATTATTAAATTCAACACCTAATACATAAAGTTCATATACTTTTCAGTAATATGCAAGTTGGTAAAGATCAGATTTAACCTAATATCGTATCTTACCCATACCTATACGGGTCTATTCATATCCTAAAGTCTGTATTTTAAACAAAAAAAAATCAAACAAATCGGGTACCCACTTGATATGGTATAAATTGCGATCCTTACCCAAAAACTAGGCTAATATTTGATTCCATGGGCATTTATTGGAAAAATGCCACCACATCGGTGCAACATAGCTGTTGGTGTTTATTCTTCATGAAATAACTTTTTGGTTTCAATATTTATCAAATAAACACTAAAAAACAAAAAATGCTTTGATTTATGTGCATGAGGCCAAGTTTTTTAAAATTGGACTGGACAAGGAACCATTATGGGGACTGGTTCCCAAGTTGATGGTCCGACCATCCAGTTCGAACAAATGACTCGTTTTGATTAAAAAAATAAAAAGCGACCAAAAACTATTGTTTGGATCGATGATTCGACTACTCGGGTCAATGAGTCATTGACCAAATCAATAATTTTAGCCAAAAAAAAATAGTTTTAGGGTTAAACGAAACCAATTACATGTGATTCTCGATTTTTCCAATCCAACTATCCAATTTAGTCCGATTTTGAAAACCATGCATGAAGAATTGGAGGAAACTTTAAATTCTAATTTCCCCCAAGTGCTAGACATTTATTGAAAGGAAATATTTATGTGGCATACTTTAAGATTGGAGTGTAAAATAACTTTACAACGTATTACTTTGAACTCCAAAATGATTCAACCAAATAACAAAAACAATAATTATTTAACAAACATTTATCCCATAAAACACCTCTCAATAAACGCCCACTGAACATGGCGAGTGGTGGAGGACTCGGTCCAACATTTGTATAGAGGAAAGGGAGGGAGTCTACGGCCCACGAAGTCGTCAAGCAGTAAAATATGTACAGAGGAAGCAACGGATGTCTTGAGACGCTTGAGTCCTAGTCATCGGCGCGTGGGGAGGTCTAGTCATAAAATGACTCAAATGCCCTTCATTAATTTTCTTAGCTGGCAAGTTATCGAAGGGTATTTCGGTAAAAGCGTGTAAAATTATATTTTATGAAGCTTAAAAGCGAGGTGGGGTAGAGGCAGAGAAAACAAGAGAAACGGCTCGTTGGGTGGGGGAGTGGCCTTCTTATATATTTACAACTGCCACCCATTACAGATGGGCAGGCCTGGCTTTTCCAATTTGAGCCTTTTTTTTGTTTATTTCCGAGTTTTTCATCTTTCAAATCAAAAAACATAAAAAAGAGAGAGAATTTCTAGGGTTTTTCAATATCTCTCTTTTCCCCTATTTTTGGGTTTTCTATATTAGTTGTGAGGAATATCTGTAAAGGTGCCAAAAACCACCAAACGGCTATAATTTTCCGTTCCACGTCTCAGAGACCAGCAGAGCAGCCGAAGATCGCCGAAGTTCACTGAAGATAACCGTGTTTTCGACTTTCTCCGGTCGGAACATACAGTTCGTTTTCGACCCTTATCGCCGATTTGAAAGCTGATCTGATTTCCTATAAAGCCTGAGACGAACAGAGAAGGGAGGCAAAAAAGTGTGGATTAAATCGACAGAGGCCAATCCTTTTCTTCAATTTAGTGGCCATGATGCCTGATGGAGGTTACTATTGCTCCAAGAAAACGGACGATATCTGTGAAGGTGTTTGTGGACAGGTATTAGTCATCCCTTTTATCTCCACCAGTCCTCCTCCTCTCTTTTTCTCCTTATTGGATCTGCTTTTATTTTTGATTCTATCATTTTACTTTACTGTTGGTTTTATCTTCTTTCTCGCCATGTTTAATTTCGATTAATGTAAAACGGATTACTTTCCGGTCTCTATCCGTGTTCTTATGTACTTCTTCCATGGCCATTTCCTTCTGAACCCTTAGCTGTTCGTTATTATCTGTTGGCAAATTTTATATGTTGATTGTTGTTGCTACGATCTCATGGACTTTTTTCTTTTCTTTTTCCCGAAAATTTATGTCCTTGAAAAGGGGCAATGTATTGAAGGGGGATTTTGGAACTTAAGAATTGGGGTTCTGGATCGGAGGACTGTATGCTTTAGATGAAATTATTTCAAGTCCTGCCATTTTTTCGTGGCAAAAATCGAACCTTTCAGGCATTAATCCTTCAGTTTGATTACCAAATGGCTAAAATTGGTTCATGTTCAAGGTGATTCTACGATCATGTGGTCTTTAGACTCTTAACTCTGGGTATTTGAATAAAAAAAATTTCATTTTCTCAAAAATGGCGGCATAAATATGGATTGAATGCCGAGTTTTAATCACCGAAATTTGTTCAAATTTATGATGGGATGGTTTTCCTTTGATAGATTATGAATACATTCGTTCTTTTTTCTGGGTAACTGACAAAACTTATGCCTTCTTCAATATACAGGATGCAACTCGCGCAGCATTGAGCATGTCAAGACTCCGATGTATGCTGAGAGGGTTGGATTTTAAAACCTTCCTCCTTCTGTTTGTTATGGTTCCGACATGCATCTTTGTTATCTATTTGCATGGGCAGAAGATTTCATATTTTCTAAGGCCAATATGGGAATCTCCACCCAAACCCTTCATAGATATCCCCCACTATTATCACGAGAATGTGTCCATGGAGAACCTCTGCAAGCTTCACGGCTGGGGAATCCGTGAATCCCCGAGGCGTGTCTTTGATGCTGTGCTCTTCAGCAACGAGGTGGATATACTGACCATTAGATGGAAGGAATTGTACCCCTACATCACACAGTTTGTTCTTCTCGAGTCAAATTCAACTTTCACAGGTTTGCCAAAGCCGCTGATTTTTGCAAGCCACCGAGATCAGTTCAAGTTCATTGAACCTCGTCTAACTTATGGGACTATTGGAGGGAGATTTAAGAAGGGGGAGAACCCATTTGTTGAGGAGGCTTATCAGCGAGTAGCATTGGACCAACTTCTTAGAATAGCAGGCATAACCGATGATGACTTGTTGATAATGTCTGATGTTGATGAGATCCCAAGCGCCCATACTATCAATCTCTTGAGATGGTGTGATGACATCCCCCCTGTCCTCCATCTTAGGCTCAAAAATTACCTCTACTCTTTTGAGTTTCTGGTGGATGACAAGAGCTGGAGAGCTTCTGTTCACAGGTACCAGACGGGTAAGACAAGGTATGCTCATTTTCGTCAGACAGACTATATCTTGGCAGATTCCGGTTGGCATTGCAGCTTCTGCTTCCGCCGTATAAGTGAGTTCATATTTAAGATGAAAGCCTACAGCCATGTTGACCGGGTTAGGTTCCGTCATTACTTGAATGCCAAAAGGGTTCAGGATGTAATATGCAAAGGGGCTGACCTTTTTGACATGCTTCCGGAGGAGTACACATTTAAGGAGATCATTGGAAAGTTAGGACCCATTCCTTCCTCTTTTTCGGCAGTTCATCTTCCAGCATATCTTCTAGAGAACGCTGACAAATACAAATTTCTCCTGCCGGGGAACTGCAAAAGAGAAAGTGGCTAACTACCCTCTCCATTAGGTTTCTTGGTTTGCTTTGTAAAGTTTGAGATGCAGCTTGTTTGGCGCTCTGAGAATGGTCAATGGGACAATTATTGACTGTGGTGCGGTTTGCTAACAATATGCCAGATATGAGACAAAGCTTGGATCATTCTTTAGAGAGAGTGTGAGACTTCTTGGATCTACTGGGTGAAGCTTTGTATATTTCCTTTTCTGCTGTTGGGTTTCATCCCGGTGGAGTCAGATCCTTTTGCCAAACATGGAGCTTGCAGTGTGGGGAACAGTTTATCTCTGTGGATAGCTTCGGTATCACACTCTTGTTGTTATATATTGGTTCCCCAATGCGAAACAAATAGTCACATTTCCTGAGCTTTCTACTGCCGCCGATTTTGTTTCCTTGAGACTAATTTATTCATATACGCTTACAACTTTTGCTGTTATTTAACTTGTTAATTCTTGTACCATCTGATTTCTTTTGGACATCTCCTCTATATTTCTGATTGAATTCTTTATCCATGCCAATCAAATTGTTAAGGAGGTTGTCAATATTTTTGGCAAACTTGTGAATTGAACCAGATAATTGATTTTATCTGCTGGTTTTCTGTTGTTAATTCTGCCATGCCTAGACTAGACATGCCATCTTGAGCTCCTCCACTAGCTCCAGGCTGTATGTCTACCAAATATAGACAGGATAACTTAAAGTGAGATACCATCAAACCAACTGCATAGACAACCACATTATAAAACACATCATTTCTGTATTCTTGTTGATCCCATTCTACATTCTCAGTAATATTCTATGCTGTCACCCAAGGTCGGTCCGCAGACCTTGAGTAAATGGTATTCTATGTTACTGGGAGAAGCTCCATATGAGCATTATCTCAAACATATGCTTCCCAAGTAAAAACAACCGCCTCTTGGAGTCTTGGATAATAGTACCTACCTCTCCCCTTGTAGAGCTGTAGACTTGTAGTTTCATCCAAAGCTTGCAAAGGATGGGGTGGGTGTACCTAGGTTCTAGGCGAGTTGTGAATTGGCGCCATCTCCATCTGGCGTCTTTACTCTTTAGAAGGCTTGTTGGTAATTTATGGTTGACGAGCGCCGACGGACGGGTCACTTCAAGGTGGGACATTGTGTATTAGAGCCATGAGGGACTGAGGGTGCGGTCTACTCACCATTCCACCCACCAAAGAAATAAGAAATGGGTAAAAAAAAGAAAGCAAGGACAAAATCGCAGATACTAAATTACTAATACTATTTGGTTCCATTTCGTCTGAATTCTGAAAGTCAAGGGTGTTTATTTTGTTAATCCAATTGGAGTTCAGCGTTTGGTTGCACTTATTATGTCTGTTCCGGTACTCAAGACGGTACTAGTTGCAGTCTTTGTGTTTTGCCATACCAACCAGGTTCATGCGACACCTTGAAGTTGAAGGACTGCTGGGACTGGTTTGATCTTGGTGGTCCTTTCTTCCGTCGCAGGAAGAAGAATACTGGTTAATGTAAAACAATCTAGCTAATTGATTTTGGAAAAGATTCCAGGTCTAGCGTTTGTATTAGGAGATGGGTCTAGTCCCGGTCCTGGAGTTTCTGCTGACTACTTCTAGCTAATTGGTGGATAAGTTTAGAACCACTTATTTATCATGGAAAAATGATGAAAGTTTAAAAGTAGAACAAAAAAAAAAAACAAAAAAGCAAGAGGAAAACAATGGACGACTTGTGTAAGTTTCGAAAATTAAAACTTAAAAAAAAAAAAGAGGCATAAAAGAAGCAAGACGGATGAAATCTGGTAATGGAGCGACTAATGTGACAAATTCCATCCACTCTTTCTGTTTCTAAGCATAGGATTTTAATAAATCGGTAGTCTTTTTATATGCGAGACAGGTGGTAGGCTATTAGAAGTTAGAACATCTCAAATGTGTTGGGACTCTGTAATTCTTCGCCCGGTCGTGAGTGGCGACACATCAATTCCGTGTGTTGCTTCTTCCACCGTCCAGATATTTTAATGATTTGACTTGGGTGATACCCATTCTTCAAACAACAACAACAATGTAATTTCATTTGCATTGGTGTAAAATTTATTTTATTTTTTGTTTGGTTTGTCTTAACCGTATTTCGGTCGAGTACAGTGATAAAGTAAAATAAAAACTGAAGAAAAAGCGAACCGGAATTCGTATTCTTGTCATTTAGTCATTTACAACTTTAGTATATACTACTATACTAGTGCAAAATGAAATGAAATTGTGCTGTAAATAAACAGATGCTAATTAATATTAAAAGAAGGAAAGACGTCCTACAACTTCAACTTTTAAAAGACCTTCAATAATCAATCCCATTTGTCACAAGGTTTTTTTAAATCACGTACCTTCTTTAAGGGGTATTCCCTGATCTGAATTGTTTTACTTGTTGCAAGTTTTAAAAAATAAAACAAATTAGTTGGTTTGAAAAAAAAAAGAAACAACAAACATATACTTGGTTACATGTTTTTTTTTTTTTCAATACCAAAAAATATATTCTTAAGGCTCAGTTTGGAAGGAGTACAGATACAAATTTGTAGAGTGTAAAACTATGTATTTTTTGTTATTTTGTATGGATTTGTATTGTATTTATTTGTATTTGTACTCCTAAACTGAGACTCAGTTTGGAAGGAGTACAAATACAAATATGTAGAGTGCAAAACCTTGTATTTTGTATGTATTTGTACTATACATATTTATATTTGTAGTCCTTCCAAACTGAGCCTAAGGAATATAAATACAAATATGTGAGGTGCAAAACATTGTACTCTGTATATATTTGTACTATGCATATTTGTATTTGTACTCTTTTCAAATTGAGCCAAAATTTCTAGTTTAAAGAACATGTTTCCATACGGTTATTTAATATCATGTTCCATGAATTATATAATTTTTACAAAATTTGTTTCTTCTACAACAACTTTGTTTTTTACTTTTTAAACCAAATATGAGAGTTCAAGAACATGTTTTTGTTTTTTGCTGATGTGGCAATTTCATAAATTAGAACACCTCCTAAATTGCCATTTGGTTTGCCATGCATAGGGATGGTAATTTCTACCCTATCTAGTAGGTACCCTTGACAGGTGTTTTTTTTCCTGAAAAATGGATTTTGGGGCAGGGATGGATTTTGATATTTTACAACCTTTACAGGTATAGGTAGGGTATGGTATTGGATTAAACTTGACCCGTATATTGTTGGAAGGCATATGAATTTATGTATCAAGTGTTGAATTTCATAATATTTTGAATTTTATGTGAAGGGCAATTGATAGTTTATGTATTTTCTACATATTTTAATCAAATAATTGGAAATTTTGATGGTTGTTCATGTTATTTTGCTTTTTTTATTACTTATATATTATAAGAAACAATAGGAAATTAGATATCGATTATAGACCCAACCCAACCCACCATTTGGGTAAGGTTAAGGACGGTTTTGCATTTCATGTATGAGAAGGTTTGGGTTTTGAAAATCCAACCTGCTACAAGTTTTGAGAGGGTATGGATTAAGAGGTTTAGAAAGGCAAATAGAATCTAAAATTTACAAAACCCTCCCGAAACCTGGCCCATTTCCATCTCTAACTATGTGATTGCAAACAAAGAGGTAGATTGATTAGAAACTACATTAAATGGGCCTGGACAAGCATTATTTTGCTCTCAAACTGGTACATTCAGGCACCTATAAAAACAGCTGATACATCCGGTAGGTCCCCCATCTAGGCTAGTGGTGTTTTGGCCATTTTTGCTGAACGGGTTACTCAATATTAAAGGTTATTGAGTGATAATTACTTTATATTTTTTGATTTACTTTATATTTTCTGATTGTCATTTGACAGGAGAGGCCATTTTGGAAGCATCTGAAAGCTTAAGTCATTGACATTGTAAGCAAAGCGGAGGGAGGTTTCAAATCATTTCCTCGAGAAGAATATGAGATGTAATATTTATGTCCCTATCTGGTACATTGTGTGGCTCAACATAAAACATACTTTAACAAAGGGGGGTGTGATTTTGGTTCCCATTGACCAAGAATCCTATATTCTTTTTTTAGTGGGTACCACTTATGTAAGTAAATGATACCCATCTACTGGGTGGACAAATAACTTTTCCACCTTGAGGGAAAGTTGACAACACTTGAATAGAACAAAAATATCCCTTTTAATAATAGATTTTTTATGGCTAAAATGGTCATTGCCTTATTTACATGAGATATAAAAGAATATGAATAAATGCACTTACAAAGATAAGTATTTCCCAGGAAAAACTTACCCAAATAACTGCATTTACCTGAATAAATAACTTACCGAAAAGCGAACAAAGCCAAAATATGAACTAATAGAATTATTAAAAGAATCATAACACATTGCACTATTCCCTTGTAATGCGTCATATATCGCACATCTGGTACATTGCGTAATTTCATCACGGGTCCTTCCAATCCCGGTTTTGTGTGGTCTTATTACCCCTCATTTGTAGGGGATGAGTATGAGTTTGGCTGTTTGTTTGGAAGAAAAAGCTACTGTTTTGAAGCTATATAAAACAGTATTCTTTTAATTAAGAAAGTAAATAAAAAATAAATAGGGTAACGTGTCAAAGTTTCAGAACAGACCAAGCTGTTTCTCTTTTCCAACCAGCCAAACCTTTCTCCATTTGTAGGGGATACAATCATACAACTGTATATGTCTTGAAAGCAAGTTTTAAAATATCACAATGCATATGTATTGGCTTTTGAACCTAGTAATACTCTATATATTGGGAATTAGGGGAATTTTTTCATGTTCAAAAAATAATATTAGGGTGGGTATTGATTGGAACTAAAAGAACAATGTATTGATGCTTTTAAATGCAAGATAGTGAATTTTTAGTGTCAAGCTTATCAATACTTTAACCATGCTTGAAAGGGCAGGGTGAAGAAAAATACCAAAAAAGAGGTATATGATTGATTTGAATGAAAATAAGAGAGAAATAAAAACTTGAGGGAAAGTTGCTAATAAATTTTGTAAAATTTCTTGAGAACTTTCTATCCATTTTCTGTTGCTCTCTAATTTTCTTTCAAACCAGACACAGAGAAGGGAATACACAAGGGTTTTACATCGTCTAATTAGCATGCCTTTGATGTTGATGACGATTAAAAGAGGATGAAAAATACCTCCCTCTGCGTTAAAAAACTTTCATTCAACAGAGACATGGAGAAGAATGAGCAAAGTACCCAAATCCAATAAAACATGTTAGGCTGGCAGCAGGCATTGCATCATACAATATACATTTTAAGACCCATGGACATAACCTTCTAAAGAGAACCCACCAAGCACGGGCGGGGAGAAACATACTAACATACTGGTCTTGAAGCTTAGGTCGTGTCCGCTCTCTATAGTCGGTCTAACCAACCCATAATACTTTCTTGCGAACCAAACTGCAGATCCTGCAAAAAAAATGTCAATCATACACCCAGGTATAATTACCAAGTTCACAAGATCAATAGATTGATGAAACAGAAACCTAGGTATATATATCAAGACGTATTGCTCTGATGGTTAACTGCCCACGATTGGTGACTGGTTAGTAGAAGATGAAACTTACTGCAAGCTGAAAATCTGTTATACCGATCTCTACATCATCAAGGTTAGGGATCCCAGATGCTGTGTTGACATCTGTGAGTGCATCATTCCTGTGACAACTTAAATCTGAGAGACCCACTGAATTATCTATTGGAGTGTAAGAATCAAAAATCTCATTGCACAACAGTAAGTCATCCATGGCATTTGGATCTGGGTCTTCAACAGGCTGAGATTCGCCCGCCCACCACGCAGGATCCAGCCTATCGTCATCCAGACTAACAGCAGAGAGAGGAGGCTGAGGTGCATTTTCAATGAACTCTGTTTCCTAATTCACATAAAGTAATTTCAGTGAGGAAGCCCATCTAGCCAAATATACTGCCATGCATGAGTATCTCTATTAAGAATTCATATATCAACTTTTATTTTAGAATTACAACAGAATATGCTTTTGGAAGCTTGCAGACATGTTAGGACTTAGGACCAACCAATGCTTAGATTCCACCAAGGATCTTACAGCTTAAGTCAACCTGATTGATGATCAAAATCAACTGATGGAGATGATTAGTCATTCAATTGGGTCAACTTTGAGACTGGGAGATCCTAATGTGGCACCACCAAATTTAATGCCACTCAATTCCGATGTATTTACTGCAGGGCATTTGGTTGATCATTTAGTCTGACTGTCCAGCACCAAGATTTTCTTTTCTGCCAAGTAAAAAAGTAAATAACTAGCTAAGATGAGTTATGAGTGGTCTACTTTCTCTTCATTGATGACATCACATAGAGCACCCTTTCTTGGTTGACGTATGTCAGGAGTCTTTGTTTTGGGAGTCCTTGGACTAGCTTGGACCATCTCTATTTCGGCATCACTCTTATCAGTATGCTTCTTCTTCTGTTGGTAGAAAATTTTTGAAACAACATATTGACCTTCCTTTTCATCATTTTCAGTCCCTAGATGGTATTGATGCATCACCCAATTGTACTTATCAGGCTTTGACCCCTTCTTTGAACTTTTATAGAGAACCATAATCTTCTTAAAGCCCTTCTGCATTCCATTTTCAACCACAGGTTTGGTTTTACCAGTTTTATGCCAGCGGACATGCTCCTCTCCCTTGTTACATTGATGATGAATCTTGCGGCGCTTGCGATGTCCAATTGAATATGCATTGGCTGTTCTATGGAAAAAATAAACACTACTTCCATCTTTCTTAGCACCTGAAGAAAAACCAAACATAATAATAAAAACTATGGATCATTTGACATGAATCAAGATACCAATGCATAAGTCAACTGAACTTCTTCACCTAGAAAAAAACAACTAAACCAAGCTACTTTATGTTCCAAATATGATTTCTAAATTCAGATTACAAACCAGATGTAGAAACCAAACCATTTATTCATTGACTTGAGATGGGACTTGAATATAGGACAGTTTTGAGAGTGCATGGATCACCTTGTCTTGAACATTTTGTTTTTGGCTCAATCAAGACTTAATGGGGATTGGACCTCATCAGGATTGAGGTAACCCATCAAGATTACACTCACTGAACTCAACAGAAGCAGAATCTATTTCAAATCTTAAGTTTTCAACATGTTATCTTAATTTAAAATGGATCTTAAGATACACAATAAGGTCAAGAACCTATTTTACCCAGGGTTAAGCAAAGCCACAATTTTTGTTAATATTCATCTTTATAGTTCTTTTCTCCATTTGATATCTATAATACTTGATTTCATCAATATCTATCTGTTTTCTCACCAGGAAGATTTTCAGGATGCGTATAATAAATTCCTTCATTTCCCTCAAGTGTAGGAATGAGTTCATCAATGAACAAATGGGGTTCTGAATCTCCAACTCCAACTTTTCCTGCCAAATGTTCTAAAAGTTCTACATCAGATGGATCAAACTTTACACCAGCAGGCAAGCCTGGCCATTCAAGTGAAACCTGCAAATTACAAAGAAACTAAGAATGAGATCATTCATATCCATTCTAAACATTAGAATTGCTCAATTACATCCAGAAAGGTGTTTCTATATATGCTATAACTATGGGACAAAAAGGTCATATGGCAGTCTAATCATGAAACAGGATGAAGATACACAAATGGTGCACATATAAATAAATGGTTTCCATTCAATGCTTCTAGCCACTGGTTCCAGGACAAAGTTCTACATGATCAGAAAATTTCAAAGATATAATCGCTCATGGTTAATGAGAAACTCAAAAAGCATGTTGGGGGGGATAATTCACAGCCAGTGTTTTAAACGGCGTGGGAGGTGTATGCCAGAGGCGTACATGCTTTAACATTTGTAAGGAGAAAAGTAAAAAGTGTTTCAGTCACTTAGAAATCCTTCCTCTTCAGATTAACAAAGCATAAGTGACACAGAATTTTATCATTGATGGTTGGCTAAAGTTAGGCTCCATCAGTGGCAAGTTTGAAGAGCTGACATTTATGATCAGGGATCTGCTGAATGGGGGCAAACAAACTCATTCATGCTGTGGCTCTGCAGTTCAATGGAAAATTAGTATCATTGTGGTTTGTTTGCAGTGGAGAACTCCACAGACATCAACCCCCCTCATGTATGTCGGCAAAAGAAATTTTGGACTTCTATCATGGCATGCACCAAGCAAACAGTATTGCGAGAATTTAAGTGCTATTCTCCACTACTTAATAGGAAATTATAGACATGATGATTAGTTTCAGAGTGAATGCACTTCCTTCAGCAGGGTGTACAAGAGGTGAGCATCCATTAGTACCTCCAAATTAATTTCTTGGAAGAAACATCAAGGCATATAGAATGGACAAGAATGCTTTTAATTACTTGACAGAAATAGAATCAGAAAAACTAGAAAACAAGAAGGAAAGATGACTTAAGTTTACTATGTATTCTCAAGATTTAAACGACAAATTCAAGAAAATTAACCAATAATTCTTGGTACCCTATATCCCATATGTTCCCATGCATGTTAACTAGATGGTTTATTTATTTATTTATTTATTTTTGGAGGAGATGTTACATGGGCAGGCATTAACTCCAAGACAGCCTTACAACAAAGGTTGCAGAATTTACAAGAACTTTAAGAAGCATTAATAGCGAGCATGGCAGGATTGACAACATAACCAAATTAACATATTTATATGATCCCAAAGATCATTATTATCTTATATTCTGGACTACCCAAAAAAAAGATCGTTATAATCCTGCTACAAGATAATTGCTCAACAAAATATATGCAAGTGAAAGCTTCTTATTATTTGTTTACTTTTGGCATAAAGAGAGTTGCACTACTAGATTACAGTCCTTTGGTTTGAGTCCCACTAACCAAGAGAATAGGAAGGATGGAGTCTCACCATTAGTGAGGAAGAAGAATCTCACTTCTCCAAGCAAACAAGTTGTAGAGTAGATCTTAATGCTTTCGTAAATGTGGCAGAAGAGGGGTATATTAGCACTTATAGGCAAGGCTAAAAATAGAAACTATAATTTGTATATATAACACATTTTAAGGAAAAGAATTACAAATATCTTCTTCCAGGATTTTCAGTAATTGCCTTTTTGAGTAGGCTTCAATTTGGGTTGTGCCCATAGGGCTTGCAAGAAGTTTCAGGGAACCGTAGTAGTAAAGGAGACCTGTGGTATAGACCTAAAACCACATAGGTTTGGCCCAGTTGTGTTGCAATTCTACACCTAGCCAGTGGACAGAACACTGATGTGAGCAACCAGATAACTTCAAATGTTTAACATTTGTCTGCATAGTTTCTATCTATTCACATTGTCAAGAAATATAATGATTTCACTTTACATTTGATGTCTTCGTATTGAATTAGTCTGATCAAAGTACTAGTCTAATGTTTGCTACTACCAATGTGCATAATCTAATTTTAAACATAACCGGTGCAACTTCATAAAACACGACTTTAGGCAACGACTCAATGTGGACAAGTAATTGCACAGAGGTAAATAATATTCTGATGAAAATAAAATACTAAACATTAACAAAAATAGAAATAGACAATCCCATCAAACTACAAATAAGTTTCAAGCTTACATCACTGTTATCAATGTGATGGTGGCAGTTAGGGCATTGTCGATTTGCCCCCAAGTCTTTGACCTGATGTGAAGAGAATTGAGTGGCATTTTTCACTTTAGCTGCAATTCCTCTACCATCGATAAGCCACGACCTGAAGAAGTAGTGTTTTTAAAGCTAAAGAAATTTAAAAAATTTTGACAAGAGGTTTGCTTGCTAAAATAAACATCCTTATACACAGTACCGATTTTGCATGAAAAGAGACACAATATCAGTTACAGATGTAAAAGTCAATTGGTAAACTTTAGCAACTATAAACAACAAAGGACATATGATTAGGTACAAGAAATGGTTCGAAGGAAATCATAACTGGAGTAGGAAAGATACAGTAATTTTTGCATCATGAAGATACGAGAGATGTGGTAATTTTGCATCCAAGTAGCTCCATCTACAAATGTATGAATTCCTTATCTCATCAAGATATCAGAGATTTTAGACACAACTTGAGTGGTTCTAGCATGGATACCCCTAATGGTTTGTCAATTCAAATTACTAATGGAAGAACCGGAGTCTGATAAGAATAAATATATGAGTTTCTAAAGAACCCAATATACTGCCTGATAAGCAGGTAGATTATAATACGTTCTAGAGGAGGCATCCCCAATGGAAGCTTCAATGTTTTTCTTAGAAAATGGAGGACGAAAGAAGCAATTACATCCTCTTGTTTATTTGGGGTGAGAGGGGGGAGGTTAGTAAGGAGGATTTTGTTATAAACAAAAAGTACGCAGTAGAGCATGCATACATCCTAAGCATCTTCTCGAATAAAAGGGAGTTGATTCAAGTGAAAACAATTGGAACATAACACAAAATCGTAATCATTCAAAGGTAAAGAAAAGAAGTCGGATACTCCTCCACATTGGCATTTCTCCCAAAAAGTGGTCCATCTCAAGATGAGAATGAGATAATCAAGCAAAGGAACGACTCAAATAAAAAATTAAGACGATCCTAGACGTGTTATACAATCGATGAATCGAAAGCATGCCAAGAGAAAATAAAAATCGAGCACTTAACAGACTTGAGAAGCTACTGAAACAAGAAACACTATAAGCATGGACATCATACAGGAGTAGAGAAGAAAAAATAAACATAAATCAGAAAAATACTATGATTACAGCTTAAATACAAAGATAATGTTGCGTTTTTTGTTAGCTCTTACTTGACCATTGTTGTTAACTTAAAACAGAGGAAGAAGGAAGAAGGTCCGCCACACAGCGAGAGCGAGAGCGAATATGGATGATGAGTACCATTTATATGATTTTCCTTTTCTCCACCATACGAATAAAAGTGTGCGCGGGAAACTTAGTCAGGAGCCGTTAGAAAAGGCTCGGGCATAAAACCGCAGTTTTTCCCGCGGAGAATTTCATATCTAGGCTAGGCACCGCGCTAGAAGCCTGAAGCCACCAAGTTTCCTGAGCCGCCACTCAACTACTCAAGTTGCTCGTTGGTAGAGCCTCAGGTTCGGCACCGGAGCTGAACGTTCGTGGGAGCCCGAAAAAACCCGTAGCACTGTCAGGGGGAGAGGAGACAAGCTGGCTTCCTTGCCAAGCTAAACATGGAACCGCAACCGATGGCGATGAGGATTGAGGAATATAGTAGTTTTTTGGAATATAATAGTCGTTGAGCTCCGATTGTGAATTCTATTTGCATCACCTTAAACAATGCCACGTGTTGCGTATGCACTATTCAACCCAAGATCCATACATAACTCTTGTAATGGAGTTTACTCTTAAGGACCCGGGCGATGCACGATATTACAATGAAAATTAAAAATTAAGGTAAATTGTAAAGATCCCCTTGTACTATAGGGTCTGTCGTAAGATAAAGACCCTTTTCCGTTAGTTTTTCGTTGAAATCTAACCTCACAATACACGAATAATGCATCACTGCTTCTCCCCGGATCTCTCTTCTTCCCTTTCCCCTTTCCCCTTTCCCCTTTCCCCTTTCCCCTCGCAAAGAAACATCTGCAAAAACCGTCTTCTTCTAGTTTCTCTTCACCGTCGAGAGAGAGAAGAACATTAACAAAATCGGCGTTATCAGAGACTTTACCACTTCCACGCCGTCGGTGTTCCTCAATGATCCCACGGACGAGCTTCCTCACTCTAGGAGCAAGAGCCGAGCATCGTTGGTTAATACGGAAAGGATCGTAGAGGTAACTCAGCCACGGCAGATAATCGGACCAGTTAAAAGTGCCCAGGAGCTCAAACCTTTCCTTCACCATCTCACGGAGCTCTCTCACCTCTTCGCTATCTTGCCCCACATCGTACCTCTTGCCAAATACACTTCCCATGATATTGTTCAGCGCAGCAGCTTGAAGGTGCTTGCACAAGGTCACGGCACCACGAGCAGACTGCTCCCCGGCTATGCCATTCAACATGGCAGAGCAGTCCATCTAACGCCCTGGCTCGTGAGCTGCAATGCGCTTTGGTGCAAAGAGGTGAGATGAAGCAATCCGCCTAAGAAGCCTCCAGTAAGATGTAGACGTTGCTAACCTACCCCACCACGGTGTAGTAGTACATTGACTGTAAATACTAATTAATTAAGGACTATTACTGATGAAACATCCAAATGTTAAAAAACATTCGATGTGATGATGTAGGCTTTACCTGTCCTTGTAGAGAGTGAGCACTGAATCGGCATGAATGAGATCGTATGTCCTTGGATATGTAGACATGGCTTCACACCTTCAATTCAGGGGAACAAGATCACCATTTGCATCTCATGAGTTTACTTTGAATTACTGGGAAAATGGGATAGAGCAGAGAGCTTACCAGCCCTGATATGTTCCTATCGATCCACGCTCGTAAATTGCTCCAAGTGTGTTGATCTTCGCCTCTGTTGGAACAACATTCGTGACCCACACCGGGTCATCGATGAGAGCAGCAGAAAAGCCTCCCAGGTGAGCATTCATATCAAGCAAATTGCGGTACCTTCCCTTCTGAGCTAGCTGTTTGTTGACAACCTTGTAATGAGCTACTCTCTTCTTCCAGAGCTCTGTATCTTCCCTGGAGGTCTCTGTTGTAACTCCATCTAGGCTTCCACTACTAATTCTAGGCAGGACTGAATGTAATCTGTTTGGCCATTATTCCAACTTTCCACCGGCAATTTCTTTTATGTCGGACACCACATGCAGGGGAGTTAAGCATGTCTCCATCTTAGAGTACCTGCATTGCTCAAGAACACAATAAGCACAAATTCAGCCACAGAGTAAGGTGGAGAAACAACTGAAGAACGAAAAGGGAAAAAAAACAAAATAGAAAAAGTTTAGTGGGGGTATTTTGGTAATTTAACGTATTCCATTATCTGAAGGGGGTCTTTGTGGCAAAACAAAATACGGGGGGGTCTTTGTAATTTACCCTAAAAATTATTATAAGGAAAGAATGTAATGTTTAAAATAATTAATCTTTATTTTATTAACTTGTTATAAAATAATTTAGTAACTTAGTTAATTGGATTAATTATATTAATAATTTTTAATAAAAATGATAAAATGTTATTAATTACTTAATAAAATAATTATTTTTCCATATTATCCGTTAATGTTTTATCTATTTATTTTACTTTATTAATGATTAAAAGTTATAATTCTTTGTAGATGTTACTTAAATATTAGTAAATATATCAAATTAGGTTGTAGTCATGATTTTCTTTAGGTTAATTTTTAGTCATAATTAAATTAATCTAAGCTCAAGTTCAAGGTTTAAAACTTTAGGTTAAGCTTTGGTTGGTCCTCAACTTGACCCAATCCCCTAAGTTGAACTCGTAGGAACAATGTGACAATCACCTGAGCTGAATTTGAAGGAGCTATGGGGATGGGCTACCCACATTGTATAGCCTAATGAACCAAAAAAACATATGAGATCTCACCCTAAATTTTGATAGTGTATTAACAATTTTATAGGTTGCCCATCTTGGCCCACACCTCAGGCCTAATAATATTTGTTTGTGCTTGGGACAATGACATGATTGTCTGTGTTAATTAAAATTTATATTTAATTTTACTTTATTATAAAAGTATATAAAAAATTATATTTATATATTAATATGAAAATTTTTACTTGTACGTATGTAGCTTCTAGGTTTAGTTTGGGGTTAGCTTGGTCCCTGTTCGCTAGTGTTGTCACTAGATTCCAAAAATCCAATAGTCGATTTGACTCCAAATCCAATTATCCTATATTTAGATGATAGCACTTCCATCCAATTAATAATTGGATTAGATGCAAGTTTAAACAAAATAAGATGGTTGTGAATTAAATTTGAATCTAATCCAAAATCTGACATAATAATGGGATGTGAATGCAAATATATAGATTTCATAATCAAATGCGGATGTAGATGTAAATGGATCTGATCTAGATTTAATCCATTTATAGTCCTATTATTTGTATTATGTGTGAGGTTGGTGTAGATCTGCTCTAGACCTAGCTTAGAAGAAAATAATTGCTTGAGCTCAAAATTTTATATGTCTAACTGAGTTGAGTTTGGATTAAGTAATAAATGATCAACCCTAAGTAAGAGTTTGATGACATTTACAATAAATGACAGTAAATTTGGTTAATTTTATGCTAATTTATTATACCTTTCAATAATTATTGATTAAACATAAAAAAAAATCAGTAATTTATAATAAAAATTAAATACTAAATTACAACAAATCATGATTAAAAATAAGAAAGTAAAAGTAAATTACAATAAAAATTAAATATTAAAATAACAATAAGTTACACTAATTTTGGATAAATTTGCACTAATTTTTGATAATTTTCAACAATTAATGATTAAAATAAGAAGTTAATAATATATCACATTAAAAAATCAAATATTAAATGAAAATAAATGACACTATTTTTTAAAAATAAATTGTTGAACAATTATTAATATTCCAAACATTATTAAATAATACTCATAATTATTACTGGAATTATAGTTATTTCAAGAATACTCATAATAGCATAATTATTATTAGCAAGAATAATTATTATTACAATAATGATAATGTAAAAAATTATGTTGATGCGGAAACAGATCTGGGTCGGAATACTCATAATCCGGTCCCAGACAATCATCATCTTGACCCATCTTGTGCTACAGTGGTCGTTCAACTGGGAGACCACAGTAGAGAGTGACAGGAATAGATCTTGGTTGGTTTTTGAATGCAGGGAAAAAAAAAAAACAAAACAAAACGACCCATTTGATGCCAGAAGCAATTATTTATAGCAAAACCAATCCATTTGGTTTTAAACATATGGGTTGATTGTAGAAAAACGTCTTTGGTTTTAAACGTGCAAGTGCTCCTTTGTTTATAAGATTTTAGACGTCTTTGTTTTTTTATTGTAAAAAAACTAAAGCAACCTATTTTGAGGTTTTTAAAACCGGATTGCACAGAGAATCGTTCTACATCGAATGGTCCAACTGTCTGATCCAAACGAATGTTTTGACAAAAAAATAAAAAATACAAAAAACCGATCAAAAACCATTTCTGGTTAAATGATTCGACCACCTGGGTCAGCGGCTCGTTGGCCAAATCAACAATTTTTGGCCAAAATTAATTTTGGGTAAAACGAAACCAGTCTGATGATTGTCCATTTTTTCGGACTGACCATCCGATTCAATTTTGAAAACATTGACTTTTTTTTTAAACAAAAAACATTGACCTATTTGACACTAGCGGCCATTAACCAACAACCAGAACACATTTTAGATCTACGGTTCTGTTCTTACCTCTTAAAAATATCGACATTGCATAGAACAAATTTCCTAGGTTTTAACGTTTGTGTTTTTTGGTTAATTTTTTCATAGTTTTTAAAAATGACCTGGAGACCGAACCGATCAGGGGTCCGGTTACTGCGCTGAATGGTCCAATCGTTCGAACTGAACGATCAGCCTGTTCTGACAAAAAAAATAAAAAATGGTCAAAACTGTTCGAACGGTTAACCGCCCAGGTCAGCGGTTTGTTGACCAAAATCAACGGTTTGAGACAAATTTCCACCGGTCACCTAATCGGTTCCTGGTTTTCCGGTCCGATTTTGAAAACCATGGATTTTTTTTTTTTTTTACGTCGGAAAATGGTGCTTTGCCACTGTTCTCTAAATCTGCAAATTAAGGCAAGTTTATGAGTGTCAACGACAAAGTTGTTGTGAGTTTATGTCAACCAGTGTTTTCAACTCGACGTTGACTCGGCCGGTCAAACTATTCGAACCATCACTTGGCTAAGATTTTGGGTTCGGTTCAGTCAAGACCTATTAGATGGTCAAAATCTGTTCGATTCGATTGGTTCAACCATTGACTCGTTCGACCCGGTCACTAGGTCGCGGGTTGCACACTCAATATATACAGACTTTCAAAGGCCATAACTTTGCACTTCGATGTTCGATTGGGGTGATTTTTTTATTTTTATTTTGGGTAACTTTTCGAGATCTATTCATCCCAAGGCACCGTATCCCGCTATTTTTGAAAAAAAAAACTTTTTTGGCCTCAAATTGCAAATTTTAATATTGTTATAAATAAAAAAAATTAAAAATTGAGTTAAAAAACATTAATTAAATATAAAACACATATAATATATCTAAATACATATGTATATAAATATGTATACATTGTTTTGGCATAAAAAAGCCATAACTTTTCTGGCACGATTTGAACCGTTTGGCCCGATCGATTGAACTAGTGACCTGTGACCCAGAGGCAAAACCGGTTCGGCCTCTGGGTCGGTTAGCAAAATTTGAAGGGGGAGGGGAGCAACACGTGGGTAGTTTCCTAAAGTTTCCAAATTATTTCAATAAACTTCAATAATTATGTAATACATTTTAAATAAACTTTCAAAAATTTTATATGTTTTAATTTCCAAAATGCTATTTTACAAAAATGTAGTTTTATGAAAATTTTTGAAAAATTCATTACACTTATGTAATTATGGAGATTTATTGAAAATCGTTTTAAATTGTTTCTAAATATTTATTTTTATTAGGTAGTTTATTAACAAAATTACACTAATTTATCTTTTATTTTTCCAATATAAATTAATTAATAATTTCATTTTCCAATATTATAATATTTTATTCCCCCATCTACATTTGGTTGTTAACTATAACAATAGCAATAACTAAAATTGTATACTTTTTGATAATTGTTAAATATAATTCTCAATTTTATAGAAATTAGTTAAAGAGTTTTCAATTTCTATAAATATTGTTAATTAACATGAATATAACAGTTTTTATCTAAAATACTTTAAAAAGTCTGATGAGTTAATTAATAACAATATTTATTAACTTGGTAATTGTACTAATAAGAATATTTAATTTTTGGTAATTTATTAACTATTCATTAACTTTTGGTAATAACACTATTTAATACTCATTGAATATGGGTTAGGTTAAATAGTAACCATATTTAACTATTTATTAATTAATATGGATACTTTAAATGAGAGAGAGTGGATATAGATTGGGGGAGAGAGATTTTAGGAATTGATTGGAGAGTGGAGTAACATGATAGGTTCCT